AATACAAGATTAAAATAATGTTCTAATCGCTTTATGCGAGAACAATAAAATTAACCAACAGTATTATTGACTATTTACAAACAGTATCTACGGGGACGCCTGCTGGAAGAAGAAGTCAAATGGAAACACCGACATAAAGTCATCTCAAATACAACAGGAGCACGACTGATTTTAAGAGCATCGTTACCTGGTTGGACTTTATACATTTAGTATGTTTAATTCTAAATGTAATAATGGAAAATTTTATCTTCATGAACATTTAGAAAATACAAAAATTATGAAGTTTTGTAAAGTTACTAACAACAAAAAATGTATTGATATTGACAATGTAATCTTTAACTTCAAATGTTACTTTAACTGAATCATGCAAAACTTTTGTTAGAAAATGTCTTAGTTTCACTGTTCCACCAACTAATGTAAGTTTTGCTTCTTAAAGTTGTTGTTGTTTGTTATTAACCACAAAGCTACACAAAAGGTTATCTGTGCTCTGCCCTCCACGTGTATCGAAATTAAGTTTCTGGCGGTATAAGTCTGCAGACATACTGCTGTGCCACTGGAGTGCTTTCTAATAACATGTGTCCTTTTCAAATTGCATACAAAAACATAACACTCTTCCTCCCTTAAAAAGGGAAAGTTTTCAGCTCTAAAAGAGCTTTCACACAATCCAAACATAATCGTAACACGCCCAGACAAAGGAAACGGAATTGTGTTAGTAGACAAACCAGATTTCCTTGAAAGAATGAACACCATTCTGAGCGACACTGCAAAGTTCAAACCACTTATGTCAGATATGCTCTCCCTAACTATTCAAAAGGAAGAAAAATGACAACCCTTCCTCAGGGTAGAAAAAAACATTATTACTGACAATGTGTTCAACTAATTATATCCTTTTGGATTACGACCTGGTATAATGTATGACCTCCCTAAAGTTGATAAATAGAATCATCCATTATGCACTATACTTTCTGTCATCAGCTCGCACAATTACAAAGCAGTCAAATTCCTTGTACCTATTCTTAAACCACTAATATTTAATGAATTTACTGTCCTGGACTCCTTTCATTTGTTAGAGATAAAATATCCACATCCTCCCAATGAATGTTTTATAGCTAGTTTGGAGTGTAAGTTATGACCAGTGTAAGAAGAATACTACCAATAACTCAGCCTTGGGAAATCAGTAGTGGTTGGTGCTGTGGGACGCCCACCAACCCCCATCGTGAAAGTCCCAGCAGCTAAGTGTAAAATAGCAAGCACACATAGTGTCTACGGGATAGGAAAGCTGGATGACCAAAA